AAAAAAAAAGAGAAATAATAGTAAATCGCATAGCAGATTTCGAGGCAGGCTTCATCGTGAATTCAATTTTTTATATATGCACTGCCGAGGAGTGAAGTTTCTCCAATTTGCCGTCTGTTACATGATGCATGAACATTTTAAGGCAAAATGAACGATACATTTCGGAAGTAGAGGCTTCAAGCTTCCAAGTTCATTATTTCTACGATTTCTTTTCACAAGATTGAAACTAAATTCATGATAAAAATTGAAATTCAATTAAACATCGAAACACTGTTAATGGGTGGACATAATCGTGGCCCAACGAAACGATTAATGTTTGAGGATCGAAAAATTCTAGAGAAAATTGTATTATAGAAACTGGAGATGAAATTCGTACTTATGAACTATGAATTTCTCGAAACAGCATCCGCTTGTTATAGCAACAAGTAAAAAGTCATTGAGGACACGTTGGTTTTACTCATTGGATATCGTCACAAGCTGTTATTTATTCAAATTTACTTTCGAGGAATTTTAATTAATTAAAACGGTACTCGGGGCTCCGCGTTACAATCGTTGCCAGAATTGTTAATCACCGGGCCAAACGTTTCGTATCAAATGTTGATCGTTCCCGAAATTTCGGAACGAAGCCGCATTACCATGTCCCTTGTCATTAAATCCGCATCGTCGGAACAGATTCTGGCCACCGTTCGACCATTGGTCGCCGATTAGATTTGGAATATTGCCATTAAAAATTTCTTGCACGCGCGAGTGTTACGATAGATGGCTATTTGCATCTTTGATTGATTGGCACTGTGCCGAGATCGTATGACGCCTCGGACACGCAATAACGATCTGCGTTATTTTGCATTTTTATGAGTCCGGCCGATTTGATTTCTTTCGAATTTTTTCGGCAAAAAAAGAGAGAGAGAGAGAGAGAGAGAAATTGTGGACGAAGTTTATTCTTCGATATTTCGAACGTATTCCGCTCGGTCTGGAGTAAATCGAATTAACTGGTTCGGTCTAATATATCGATCTAAATCTTCGTTCACTCAGTATGCAGACGCGATCACTCGCAATTATTGTCTGAATGTCTCCGATGTTCCCACTGTCCCATGAAATCATCCTCTGCGTAGTCACCTAATGGATCATCGCGACTCGAGCAAAGCTGATTCATTAATTTAACAACGCTCCTCTCCAAATCTCGCCGTCTATTTGCATGCTTCTCGGAGCGTAGTCATCTCCAGTGCCATCAAATAAATTCCACCAATCCTATCTTTACAAGGATCCTACTTAATTCACTACATGCTCACGCAACGTGATGCACACACGTTATTAAGGAGAGATCTCGCCCCACGTATCCAACGAAGAACGTTCCCTCGAACGCTGTCATCGATTCACGATCCGAGAGATCGAAAACACGCGCGCTGGCTAAATACTTATTGGAACGATCGGGACTGCGTGGTAAGATTCGACTGGCTGTGGTGGGGATCGTTTTATCGATGGGATCGTTTCATACGATTGGATCCTGCGAAATGAAGCTCATTTCAAAGGCTCGCCTTTGGCAATAGGCAGACCGGATAAACCGGCGGAATGAGAAGATCTCGCGGCGACCAGAAAGAACGACGAGGGAGAATTCCGATTCTGTCTGTCGTTGCTTATTGGAAGATAAATTGGTGATATG